GTAAATGATATTGAATCATAAGCATATCATGAAATCATTGCTCCTGTACTAGTTTTTTTTTTTTTTTTTTTTAATTCAGGGATTAACGACGTCGTTCTTGTATCCCCAATATGTCTCGTGATCCGACTGGCGGAGCTTGTACGCACTCGGCCCAAGATAAGCATTCACATCCGGCCTGCTCTGGGTATTCGGCAATTCAACTTCTGCCCCTCTTTGTCCCCCGCAGACAAACTCTCAGATATCACCTAGATCTGAGATACAGCTTTCCGTCTGGATTGGACAGAATATCCTCGGCGCAGGGGACAAGGTTACACTCCCTGTATATCTTTCATCGATTTGGATCAATCATGATGCAGCTGCCCCAATATCAGCAATCAAGGACGTCTATGTACAGCAGTCCCGTCAACTCTCCATATCTGCAACACCTCGATCCATCACCTCTAACTACACAAACTGATGAACATTATGACAATCTCGCCAATTCCACATTGGAAATCAGCTGTGCATCAAAAACGCACGGCCCAACTTAACGCCATCCCTCCTTCCTGGCGTCTTCCTTCCACGATCCTCACTCCTCCCCTCCCCAACACCCTCGAAACCATCCGAACGTGCGGCGTCCTTTCTGCGGAGGAGCTTGAATGGACCGAGACTGACGATGTGACAAATCTGCTTTCCCTCCTGGCTTCAAGAGAGGTGAGTTCCGTGCAGTTGACCACGGCATTCTGCAAGCGAGCGGCAATCGCGCAGCAGATGACCAAGTGTCTGACGGAGATCTTTTTCGACCGGGCGTTGGCGCGAGCGAAGGAGCTGGATGATCAATATGAGAAGACTGGTATCCTGACAGGACCTCTGCACGGATTACCAGTTTCTATCAAGGATCGGTTTGATGTGGAGGGGATGGATACTACAGTTGGTATGTTATTGCTGCTTGTGTGGGACGTGGTTCTTAAGATTGATGGAAGTGCGAACAGGGTGGGTTGGCTTGATTGGCAAGCCAGCGCAGAGGTCCAGTTCCATCGCCAGATTGCTTGAGTCCATGGGCGCAGTGCTCTACGTCAAGACGAATATACCACAGTCTCTGATGGTATGCGTGCTGTCTCAGTCTGTCTACTCCTGCTGACAACGCTCAGATGTCTGACTCGTACAACCACGTCTTCGGCCAGTCCATCAACGCATTTAACCACAAACTCATCTCCGGCGGCAGCTCCGGAGGCGAAGGCGCCCTGATCTGTGCGCGAGGCAGTATTCTAGGCATCGGGACGGATATCGGGGGCTCGATCCGCATCCCGGCTGCCTTGCAGGGTCTCTACTCTATCTGTCCGACGACAGGCCGTGTCCCGTGGGACTGTTCTTTGTGAGACTTGTCAAAATCGTGCGTTCTGGAAAAAGAAGGGTTGACTGACGCGCCTTACAGCATGCATCAGCACTACCTCGTTCCCCCAGTCGCAGGGCCCATGGCTCGAAGCATCGCGACAATTGAGTACTTTATGCAGTCACTTCTCGATTCGAGCCCCTGGGACATGGACCCAGGTTGCATACCCATTCCCTGGAGGAAGGAGTTAGCGGCCTTACCTGACCGCAAGCTCAAGTTGGGAGTCGTCTTCGACGACGGGGTGGTCAAGCCACAGCCGCCTATAACTCGAGCTCTACGCGAAGTAGTAACGAAGCTTGCAGCAGCTGGCCATGAAGGTATTTTCTCAGCTGGTGTCAAAGGAGAAGCTCAGGCTAAATCCTTGTATCAGTCATCGAATGGAGCACTGCTCTCCACACACCAGGGACAAATCTTTGGAAGAAAGCTATCCTAGCAGACGGGGGCTCGCACTGCAAACACCTCTGCGACATTGTCGATGAGCCATTGATCGAAGGAATGGTAGTCGGGACTGCAGCGGATGAACTTTCCATTCTGGAACGGGAAAAGGTAGCTTATAGACACTAAATCAGGACGTCAAAGTCCACAAGCTGACGCCTTACAGCTCGAGGAAGAAAAGTGGCTCTTCCAAGAACGTTTTCTAAAGCAGTGGAAAGACAGCGGGATCGATGCGCTCCTCATGCCCGTAACGCCCTGGGTCGGGTACAAGCCAAGGACCTGGATTGAGAGCAAACAGTGGCTGGGCTATACAGCCCTCTGGAACCTCCTGAACTACGCGGCAGTGACGGTGCCTGTGACGAGCGCAGATCTGGCTTTAGATCAGCCTGATCAAGATTGGCTGGCTCACACTCCTCGGAACCAGTCTGATGAGTTTAATCGTGGCCAGTGTAAGTGATTCCTTTGTGCATCCGAGACTTGCTATGCTAATACATCGTGATAGACGATATCGATTTGGTCAAGAATATGCCAATCTGCATACAGATTGTAGGAGGGCGGTTCGGGGAGGAAAAGGCTGTTGCTGTCGCGAAAGTGGTTGATGAGCTTGTACATTCGTGACGGAAGTGTCATGAGCAATGTTATTCAAGAGGGTTAACATCATTTGCCACTATGTTACTATTGCTAGACTATGAATATTACAGTAACAGTATCGAATTGAGCCAAGTGTCATCACAATTTCGCCTGTCCCTGATGAGCATTCCCCTGCCAGGCAAACCCTATCTTCTTCCCAATGCCCGGTTCCACAATGACATTGACAACGGTGACCGTATCACTCAGGAAGCCCTCCCGCGCCGCAGTCTCCAGCTCCTCTTCAGAGCGGACAAAGTATCCCTTCCCGCCACACATGGGACCGAACTGCTCGTAGCGAGTCTCGTAAAGCAGACTAGTCGACCGCAGGCCCTTCTTGCCGTCATCCCCGCCGTCCGATTTGGTGTCGTTGGCCGCTGTCTGAGCCTGTAGCTCTTTCCATGAGCTCTCAGAAGCAGCGTCACCGTGGTATATGCCCGAGTTGTTCACCACGAAGATAAGAGCGGGGATTCTGTAGCGAGCCATGGTCTCAATTTCCATCGCGCTGAAGCCAAACGCACTGTCACCTTCAAGCGCCACGATCTTCTTCGGTTTGCCCGTGGATGCTGGAGAGGCGTTGTACGCCTCGTGAGCTGCGATGATATATCCCATTCCCACGCCCATCGTAGCATATGTCCCAGCGTCCAGACGCTGACGGGGATGGTTGAGCGGGAAGACCGCACGGGAGATGTCCATAGTGTTCGCGCCTTCGGATACATACACGACGTTGCCATCTTCAAACGGCGCCAGCGAATTCAGCGTCGTCTTGATAATCTGGAAGGCCCGCTGATACGTCAAGGGGGAGTTCTTCGGCGTGCGCGTGAACGCAGCCCTTTGCGCCTTGGCCTCATTCTTCTTCGCCGACTCCGCCAACAACGACAAGAACCGGCTCGGAACAGCCGAAGAGGCATACCGCCAGTTCGATAGAGAAACCAGCAGCTGCTCAACCACCAGATCGATATCGCCGATGATCCCCAGCTCCGCGGAGCCCGCATTGCGACCGATCTCCTCGGCGCAGATATCAACCTGGATGATCTTCGCCCGGGGAGACCACTTAGGCGGCTCGCCAAAATGCAGAATCCAGTTCAACCGCGCCCCAAGCACCAGCACCACGTCCGCGTGCTTCAGCGCCGTGCTCCGCGCGCTCGATACATTGAGAGGATGCGAGTCCGGCACTACACCTTTCCCCATCGGGGTCGGGAGAAACGGAATCTGCGTCTGCTCGACTAGCTTCCGGATCTTGCCCTCAGCCCTTGCATACGCGGCCCCCTTGCCGATAATCAGTAACGGCGCACGAGCCGCCTTGAGCAACTGCGCCGCCTTAAGAATCATTGCGGGGTCCCCGCTCGCCTTGGGAGGCGGCGGGACGAGGATATCCTCGGGCTCCGGCAAGCGGAAACCAGGCGCTGATTTGCCCTGGATCAGGTCGGCGGGCAGGTCGACGAATGTCGGTCCCGGACGCCCGTACCAGCATGTGCGGTATGCGTTTCTCACGGCGCCGGCGACGAAAGCGAGAGACGGCGGTCGCACTGCGAACTTGGTATGCGGCGTGAGGAACGAGATGGCGTCCATCTCCTGGAAGGCGCCCTTTGTGACGCCTGAGGTCTCCGCCGATCCGGCGAGGACAAGAAGGGGGAAGTTATTCGCGGAAGCATTGCCAATCTGTGCGTTACAGGAGAAATTGTCAGACCCAGCTTGATGATTTGGTTTTGGACTGGCCGCGCTCACTCACCCCAGCTAAGGCATGGAGGACTCCTGGTCCTCCAACGACAAGACAAACTCCAGGTTGTCCTGTCAGATACCCATAAACGCTCGCTGCATAGCTACATGCCTGCTCATTGCGGAAAGCAATGAAGCGAATACCCAAGTTGATGGCCTCCTCAGCCACTTCGACTACGGGAATGCCGACGATGCTTTTTTGTTTGGTGAGAAAGTCAGTGAGGCGTTCCACAAGCGGTTCTATACAGAGACATCCTCACCCAAAGATCACAGTGACGCCTAGATCGCGCAGCGTCCGGGCAATCAGCTGAGCACCACTAACGACAGCCATGCTGGTGCTAGGCATAGTGAATCAATCCAATATTATGTATTAGGGATTAGATGAGTGATGGAAGGCCATCTCTGCAAAATTGAAGTTTTGGAGGATGGTGATGGATGAGGAGATGCTCTGGGGCACTTCCGAGGTTCCAAATGACGCAAGCCCGGAATGATTCCCGAGGAGTCAAGTCATTCATTATCAACAGCAACATCTGAACATCTGTATCTTCTTGGACTTTAAAATATAATAATTAGATGGCTTATCATCAGCGACGGTAGACTGCGCAGCGAGACATACTAACACTGGTGGAAAAGAGACGGATCTCAGCTTGCGGAGTATACTAAGAATCTATTGCTCGATAGGGATTTCTCAAGGTATGAATCAAATTCGCTGCATGGTGACCTTGAGGGTACGAAGAAAAGACATATGGTATCCAACACATCAACTGAGACACGAAATAAATATGCCCGATCATGCCAAATCTTGCCCGTCCGTTCTATAAGACAGAATAGCGCAGGAGTATCATCCCTAGAAATCGAATTCTTTCCTGAACACATTCACATCCATCCCTGCGACTACCATATCAGCCAGATCCCGACGGCCCATCTGGCTGAATACACGCCGCAGCGTATCGTAAAGGTTGGTGCTCTGGTTCTGGCTGATATGGAGCATCCGCTCAAGTTGTTCGTCATCAATACCGCCCTCACCACCGCCAACGATCTCGCGAGCTCGCTCCCGGCCTTCTTGTTCGACGACACGGTGCATAGACAAAGCACCTAGGAGGTGCTGTGCGGCCTCGGGATAGCAACCAATGTTGATGCAGGATACGCCAAGGTTGTACCGGGCACGGACAAAGTTGGGGTTGATTGTAAGAGCTTGCTCGTATGCCTGAATAGCCTCCTCTGAGCGACCGGAGTTGGCAAGTGTAGCTCCGAGACGGTTCCAGAGAAGATGAAGTTGCTCCTTCTGATTCACAGTGCCTGACTCAGTAGATGCCAGCGCGGCGGAGAAGCAGTCGACAGCCTTGTCGTATTCCTCCGCACAGTAGAAGAGAACACCCAACCCGACTTGAACGTCTGGATCCATTTGCTCTCCAGAAGGTGACAGCTGCGCCGCCTTGATGAACAGATCGGTGACCCGTTCATGTAGAATCTGGCGATCTGTGAAGCCCAAGTCTGCGTCGGATGACAGATTCTTAGGATCGATGATCTGAGGATACTTGACAGAAAGCCAACGCTCGAGGGTGCGGTACGCTGTCGAGTCATAACCTTCGTTTGTATACGAAACAGCTAACCCCATGAGCGCGTCCAGATTGTGGGGATCGACCTTCAGCGCCTGTTCCAAGGCACGAATAGCAGGAAGCTCCTTCTCATTTTGCGCCTGTGCGGATCCCAGCATTGTCCAGGCTTGAACGTGCTGAGGGTCCTTCTGAACAGCCGCCTCGAACGCCAACGCAGCCAAGGAAAGATTGCCGCCTTCGCGCATGATCTTGACGCCTTCTTCGAAGGGGTTGGCCACATTCCGGAACACGTTTTCCTCTTCGAACATGTAATCGCCCAACTGAGGATCTCGGAAACGCGTGTGGAGATTGTCAAAGCCATCCCACTCACCAAGGTCTCCCATGTGCATGCTGTCGTTAATATCGAAAGAGGCATCTTCCTCCGCCAGTTTCCTGCTTGCCGCCGATTCAGCTTGGACTCTTTGCCATACGCTCTCAAAAGCACCGTAATCTTGAGCATTACCAGTGTCAGTAGTGGGGACTGACCTATCGAGATCATTCAGCTCCGCCTCCATAGCCGCGTTGGCCTCATCGTCCAGGGTCTGGTTGCCCGCCGTCTCCATCTCGGCAAACTGTGCCTCCCAGTTCTCATCATCGAGCTCGACCATGCGGCCCTTGCCCTTGTCCTGAGTAGCGGCCTCCGCTGGCTGTTGTTGCATGCCCATGGGTGTATAGGATGGATGCATCATGCCCATTCCTCCCATACCCATGTACCCCATGCCCATTGGACGCTGATAACCTGCCATCATCGGCGACGCGGACGTGGCTGGACTTGACGTTTGTGGCAGGCCCACCCGACTCTGTTGTTGGAAGCGAGCAAACTCTGCAGGTGTGAATGCGGACCCGTTGTTCATTAGAGGTCCTGTAGGGCCGGCAAAGGCAGCCTCCATCCGGGCATGTTCGCCAGTATCAAACTCAGCAGCCCACCCGGGAGACCCCGTCCTAGGCGGAGTGGTCTGGAAGTGATCTAGCTCGCGCCTTAACTGTTCCATCGCAAATGGTTGCGGTGCTGCCCCCGGAATCTGGCCTGGTTGTTGTGCGGCGAACTCGTCCATCATCTACTTAGATTACCAATCCATTGTTAGCCAGAATAACTAGCTGCGGCTTCAAAGAGAGCGATATTTCCATACCTGATCTTGACCACCCATCATACTCCTCGACCGCATACTCTCTTGCATGCCCCCGGGACCCCTTCCAACAAGGCGGTCCCGTTGGAGTGATTTGTCGTCCTGCACATGCTTTGTGAACTGCGTGAGCGGGTTTCCCGCGGTAGAGCACTCAGCGCCACCAAGGAACGACATGTTGATAATTTCACAAGGAACCCGTCAGAGAAAATAACATCGATAGCTAAGAAGGATTTGAATAATCAATGATCAGCTTCAATAGACTGTAGGATAAAAGGAAGGAGGAGGATGGAGAGGTAGATGGCAACGGTATCTCCGCCAAAAACGTGGGGTTTGAAACCGATTGGAGAGTTGCTGATGCCGAGGTCCGCCGATAAGTCACGTGCTTTGATATCAGGACACTCCTGTCCATTATTTCCTGTCTAGTTATTATGCTCCAAGTCGTTTCATCAGGTGTAGGCGGTTATTCAGATGTTTCTCAAGTCGATAGATACCAAAGCTCTATTTTTATAGGATACACTTGGGAATGCCTGTTATAGTATACATCTTATGCAAAATCGTACATCATTCTTCGAATTTTTGCAATACAACCAAGCGCATAAAAAGAGGCAGACGGCAACTGAATGAATAATGCGACTGATTACTGCTCATCCGGGACCTCCTCGATACGACTACCCCTTCTGTTGGTATTGCTGTAGTCCACGCGGATTCGTCGACCGAAAGGTGCCTTCCCACTGAGAATCTCGAAAGCCTTCTGAGCGCTCTCGACATCGAGGAATTCCGCATGAGCGAAGCCGCGAGGATGCCCTGTGCGACGATCAATCGATACCCGAACATCGATCACATTGTTGATATCCTTGAAGAGCTCGTTCAGATCCCGATCGGTCATCTCAAACGACAGGTTGCCGAGGTACAGCGTCTTTGAAACGGGCTGCACGGGCCTGGATCCGCCCCCGCTGCTTGCATATTGCGCGGTTATACGGCGGCCCTCATAGACTTGCATATGCATAGCCTCGACGCAACGTCTGGCGGCATCAATAGAGTCAAAGTGCACGTATGCAAACCTATTCGGTAAGACAAGACACATTGTTAGAATTCTCCTTTCCCGCAGAGAACAGTAGGAGCTGGACTCACCCTCTGCTCATTCCTCGGTTATCAGCAATGAGATCGACTCTCTCCACAACACCAAACTTCTGCATGTGGTTCTTCAAGTCTTCCGCCGTCACATCATAGAAGAGATTACCAACGTATACTGTCTCTCTAGGCGCGGGGGGTTGGTCCAGAATTCGCAACCGCCTCTTAGGTTTCAGAGGCTGCTCATCGCGAGCATCGGACTCCGCCGAAATGATGTCCGAAGGATCATGATTCTCGTCCTCTGGTGAGCTCATCGGATCCCGGCTGGCGGTGTTGTCGCTGAACCATCTCGTATGTAATGCTAATTGAGATTGCAGAGGGGATAGTACGGGTAGAGGAACGCGAGGTGCGAGGGCCCTGGCTGACCATGCCGGCGCGGTGACCGGCAGAGACAGGAGGCGACTGGCTGCTCTCCGAAAGCAATGCCTGTAAAGAGAAGCAATTAGTCACGGCGTCCTTGATGGAGGAATATCTATTACAGCAGTCGTATAGAATAGATAGGTCATTTCCTTACATTTTCTGTGTCGTCGTGAATTGAGTTGGGAATATATGACCGAGGGCAAAGGCAGATATACAGAATGTGTTAAGCAAAAAGTTCGCCTTACCGGATCTTACAATGTCACGTGACTGTCAGGCCATGCGCAATTTGAAACTGGTGGATTTTATGAACGAGAGAATGAAAGGCTTGAACTTTTCACCAGATTTTTTCTTGTGCGAAGAAAGAAGAATGAAACTAACCTAGTGCCAACTAGAGAGGCAGTAATTCACAGCAAAATTGTGGGAATCGAGTGGAGAAACAGGATATATACAGCCTTTCTGGATTTCTACATTTTCAGAGATCCCAACAAGAGCGAGTGTCCTGAGGAAACGCCACACCTCCAAAACCATACACCGGGGTGGGAAAAGACAATCTTTCTGAAAAGAAACGAATCGCTGGACAACTGACAGTTCAAACAAAGTGCTTTTGCGATCGACATGAGTACTATTATAAGATGCCCTCGCCTGAAGCGTTGTTGCTTTTTTGAGAAGAGTTGTTGTCGTAAGGCCCGTTAAGGCCCGGACTCTCATATTTCACCGGGTCTGGCGAGAAGACATTGGAAAAGCGAGGCAAAGGCCGCATATTATCTGCAGCGTTGCCTTGCTGCATGGAAGGTAATTGTGTGGGTGACAAGGACCCCTGACCTTGTAACGATGGGTGAAGTGGCGGTTGTGGTGATGGTTGCTGCTGCTGTCCATCGAACGTTGGCCACCATTGGTTCGGTATGTCGAGATTCGAACTCTGAATATAAGTGTCCCAAGAATCCTGTTCGCGGGTGTTAGTGAGGTCCAAGTGGTGTCAAGGCATGAAAAGGGGCAAGCGTACCCAATCCAAGTTCAGCTGCACATCAGGCAACTGTCCAAACATTGTGCTGAACGGGGACAGAGCTCCGGGCACCTCTGCCGTGGACCCAAACGCCCCCGGGGCAGAAGGCATTTCTGACCCTTTGAAACCAGTTTCATTGAATGCGGGGGATCCTGAGTTTGCGGCGCTCAGTCCACTGCTCAATAATCCCAAAGTCATTGCGGCGCTTTGTTTCTCGTCCTGAGGTTCGAAGGCCGGCGCAGTGGCATTACTGTCTGGAAACCCTAAATTCAATTTGGCAAGCATCACCCCGATGACGCCAGCGGCTTTCCAAGCTTCAAGTGACTCGTCACGAAGTTCATCCCAAATCTCTCGAGAACGCTGCAATGCCATGATCATCTCCTGTCGTCGCTCCCTGCCCCACGCAAAGGTGTCGCCGGAATCTCTTCCACCGGCTTGCAATTTGAGTCCATGATACAGGTCAAAGCAGACAATAGTTGCAGCAAGCAAGTAATCAGTGGAGCTGAGGGAATTTACGCGATTCTGTTTTGTGCGCAGACGTCCCGTCGGCCTTGTCTCCGCGTGTAGCATTGACTGAAACCGCAGCAGCTCCATGGCTGAATCGATGCAAGCCTTGCGTGAGTAGGTGAATCGGGGATTTCCACGTGCTTGAACGATATAAGGCCGGTGGAGGACACACTGCGCTTTATGGTAGACGCTCATTATCTGCCAAGGATCAGTACTACAACTCACGGTATAATTGGCAAGTGATTGACGTACACCAAAGCGCGACATGATCAGATTGGACGGGTCCAACTGACACTCCTCAAAAGGACGAATGACAAGATGCTCCGGAATCAGGTCCCGAGCTCGGCGAAGATCAGCGTCCAACTCCATCACCTTGTCGTAAGATTCACTTTGCACACTCGAGGTGAGCTCGGCAACTCGGCCAAATACGTACGCCAGACGGGCTTTGGCAATGAGGTAAGAGATAGGTGTCGGTTCATTCGGCGGCCGCGAGGGAGGAAGTTCCTTGCAATTTTCGTCGAAATCATCATCATATAGATTCCGCGGAAGCTCCGTATCACTATCCACAGTGCGAATCATGCTGGGAAGCCCAACCTGAAACGAAAAGAGCAAGTCCGATTGCCGCACGAAAGTCCATACGCGTCGGCGCATCTCACCTTGAAATGGGCTAATGTTGGGGAAAACTTTTGAGTCCCGATGGTAGCCCATTCTCATCGCTAGCCTCGCGACGACACCTACAAGCACCCAGACAGAAACATCTGCTTCCTTCGTTTGACGAAAGTCACCATGAAGATGGAAGATGAACGTCTCGATCAGGTAGGGATAAGGTTTGGTATAATCGGCCAGAGTCAGACATTGAGCGACCAGATTTCGAAAAGTTCCAGCCATGTCCAAGGATTTCCCTCGAAACTCGGGTGGCTCGTCCCCTTCTTGGTTATATGACAGCATAGCGAGTCGCATCATGGCGAACAGCATGCCCACCCAGACAATGCACGTTTGAGAAGGATCTTCCCAATGTTTGTTATACTGGGGAGGAAGTCAGAAGGAATAACGGTCTGCAGGAGAACAATTATGCTTACCTGAGCTTGAAACGTCGGTCCGTGAAGTATATCTGTCCATGGTTAGTCATAGATGCATTTACATGCAGGTTCTCTAGTTCTGTCGGTACTCACGAGTCGCTGGATCATAGCTATTGAAATAACGAGCAATAAGCATATCAGTTGTATATCTCGAGGGAAAGGAAGACATAATCTCTGCGCGGCTGGCAGGCTTCATGGCCCCAAGAAGCAGCGTGGAGCCCGGGACATCGCTCGGCAGCGCTGATGTCTTGAGCTTTTCGGCTTGCTCCTCATACTGCTTCTTGTGCGTGTGGAAGTAATTACGAACTTCGGCGATCTGTAGCTTCAATGTAAATAAAGAGAACTTATGAGCGCATGGTCAAGGGCTGACTCACATCGCTGAGGACGGAAGCCCAGTGCGCATCGCTAATATAGTATGATTTATTATTGTCGACTTTCATGATACCAAATGACTTGGTAACTTGCTCCGTATCGCTCTCCTCCGGAGCATTTGATGTTTCCTCGTCCAGATCGATGTCGTGACCCTGGTTGAGGGAGTCCCCACTACTGCTGGTTCCGGAAATTGCTGCCATTGCCGCTGCCGGGCCTGCGGACTGCGATCCGTTGGTCATCAGGGACAGTACCAAGCTCTCGAGTCGGTCTATTCTGTTCTGCATATCGTCTGGGGAATTCGAGGCAGAGTTCTGTGTTGCGTTCTTCCTTCGCGCACTTGCTTGAGCATAGGTACAGGAAGAAGCATCGCCTCGCTTTACGCAGTTCTCGCATGGGTGGGAGCGGTTGCATTTCAGTCTTTGATGATACGGTGTTAAAGTCTGGTCTTCTTCAGATAGAGGAAAAAGGCTAATACTCACTTTCTATGCCGGCAGGGGCCGCAAGAAAGTGGCACCCTGTTTCGCTTTCGGACGACCCTAAAGTGACCTTCTGGCGAAACGGCGCCAACGCTCGAGGAGGTAGAAGGTGGAGTAGGCGACATTTCGGAGATGACACCTTGGTGAACGGTTGTGCTAGATTTGTCGATATGGATTCGCTCGTAGGCCAACTAGCTTCACTTCACGATCGGAAATCCAAATGAGCACGGCGCAACAGCGAGTTCCGAGCGAGACCTGGCACCAAGTGCTTATCTGAGAATGGGGTATCTCAATCCAAGTGTGAAATGTCCGTCCGGTGGCGCGCTCGATTTGAGAGGTACCTGACCAGAGGTGTGCACAACGCGGACTCTTCGACTTGGGCAGATTAAATACTCGAGGTACCGAAAGAGGGCGCAGGTTCAATTACTGCTGAGTTTCTGACGGCGTTTCGACGGACGGTTCAGCAGCGAACAATGAGCCTGAATTGCTAAGCTTTAGTGGGGTCGATAGGTTGCGGCGGCGTTTCCTCAAGTCGAGCTCGTTGGTGATTTATGCGACACTGCTTTCCTGCTGTTGATAGCATGCGCAAACATCACAGATATGAAGCGCTTAAGCTATTGTGCGTTAATAATAAGAATCGCTGAAGGCGACCGAAGGCAGGGAAATGATAGTGTAAATGGATGGGCGGACGGGGACAAGCGGTCGACGGGCTATCAAGTGATTCCGTCGAAACAGGGGGGCGACGGACCAATCCCTCATTCTTCTGGGATATGCGACCCGCGGAAGAGATGGACATTCATTCAATAAGACGCGCCAGTTCTCGAGAACGAGTACCTATTAATGATACGGGCGAGAAAAGGAATAAGGATGGACAACTGTGGGAGTGCCAATGATGATGAGGATCCAGATTACCTACAGATTATCTCCGTTATCACCACGTTTGCTGCCTCAGGCCTGGACGCAGTTCTTACAGTGGGAGGGTTCTACTGAGTACTTCATACCCTGGTAATAATAAATGATCCTTTTCATCGACTAAATTACGAGGAAAAAGGCACCCCAATTATCAGAAATGGTACTGTGTCAGTGAGCTTTACCATGTGCAATATGGGCAGTTCAGGCATGAAGCAGACTAGATACCTTGGATGCAGGGCTCCAGGCAGCTACCTAGTTACGCGGACCAAGACAAGACATCGCAGCAAAGTGTTTTGGCAGAGACCATCCAGGATCTAGGCCACCGCATGCGTTTCCGCCAGTTTCTTTGTCCTGAAAAGAAGAAGGAAGGAATTTGATTTGTCGATCGTCCAACGCTAGGTAGATATATCCAAGGTACCTCTCTAGCTTCATATTGCAATTGAGTCATCGAAAAGCCACTATCTACTAACTAGATAAACTCACTAAATAGCACAGCCGCAACGCCTGTATTCTGCTGTTTCCACTTCCCAGTGATCCAGTCAGCATCAAGCAACCAATTACCCATTGAAATAGCGAGTGTGTATGTCCAAGAAAGGCTTGTTAAGTTGTTGGTGGCCTCAGTGGCTGCTGTGCGTCGACACTCGACAGCAGGGAAGATCC